CCCCCCCCCCCCCTTCCCTTGTTTGTTTGTTTTTCTTCCTCTCCCTTCTTCATCCAGCGAGGTTGGTCAGGACAGAGTCTGTGCCCTGTGACATCAACAACCCCTTGAGGAAACCCCCCCGATATTCCGACCTGCACGTCAGCCAGACCCTCCCCAAGACCAACAAGCTCAACAAGGTGAGAGTCCTTCCTAAAAGAACCTAAAAAAGAAAGAACCTAAAAGCAAAAAGGGGCCGTTTGGGGCAGGAGAGGACCCCATGGGGTTGTCCTCAGGGTGAGACATCTCTCAGCACCTTGGTTGGCTGGCTAGGATCAAGCCTTGCTGGTGTCTCCGTGGTCTTCAGGCACATCAGCTGCTATGGAACCAATGTGGGGGTTGGTGTGGGGGCAGGAGCTGCCCAGAAACCTGCTTGGGGGTCTACATGAAAACAGTAGTCCCATGGAGTGGTGCTAATCCAAGGAGCAGAGGGAGGGTGAGCTGGGGCAGGATGCTGCCCAGCCCTTGGGTTTCCCAGCGTGGGTTGCATCCACCCATGGATGGTCAGGAAAGCTGGGGAGGGACTTTGGCCGAGGGTATGGAGTGATGAGACGTGGGGAATGGCTTGAAACTGGAAGTGGGGAGAGTTAGTTTGGATCTTGGGAAGGAATTTGTTGCTGTGAGGGTGGTGAGAGCCTGGCCCAGGCTGCCCAGGGAAGCTGTGGCTGCCCCATCCCTGGCAGTGCTGAAGGGCAGGTCTGTGGCAGATCTGAGCTCTCCAGGCAGGTTCTCCTCCCTGTTTGCTCCCAGGTGGTCCTTCCTCACCCATTGCAGTGTGTCCTGGTGAGGACCACCCAAAGCTGTTGTCCTTGCCTTGATTAGGAATGTCAGTGAAGGGCAAGGGATGTCTTGGGGTGTCTTGGTTGATCCTTCTCTGCTTCAACTCAGCCCCCATGGTCCAAGAAAGGTCCTGGCTCAGAGAAGGTCAGAAGAAGCTGCCAGGTCCTTGATGACCCTCAGGACTGAGCCCCAGGGATGCAGCCCCCAACTCTGCTCCTGGTGGTCACGGCTCTGCAGAGCCAATGAGGTCTGGGGAGCCCTCAGCTATGGGTGCACAGCCTGGAGGGACTGGGGACAGGCGACTGGTGCAAACTGGGAATACAAATAGGTTTGGGAAAGGCCAGACTGGGGCTCTGGTTGTCTCCTAGAACTTCTGGGGGACTGGGACAACCTACGTAGCTCCTGCTTGTCACCCATTGCCCCAACAGCAAAAGGGAAACAAGGTCTCACCCTTCTACAGGGGTGATTTGGGTAACTTCATGGTGTCTTTGGGGTGGTGGGTCTCCAACAAGCTTATTGGCAGCACGTGTGGGCTGTGATGATGGGGAGCAGCTGATGCTGAGGGTATCTAACAAAGCTTGTCCCACCAGGTCTAGTCACTGGAGCACCTCGGGGGGTGACACTGTTGGGCTCTGACCAGCTCTTCTCTTCTCCTTCTTCTCCTCTCCTCTCCATCCCCATGTCCTGCAGGACCACATCCCAGTGCCCTTCCAGCCGGCCTCCAGCAGCAACCCCTCCTCCACCACCTCCTCCACCCCCTCCTCCCCAGCCCCACCGCTGCCCCCCAGCGCGACGCCCCCGTCCCCCCTGCACCCCTCTCCTCAGTGTCCTCGCCAGCAGAAGCAGTTCAACCTGCCAGGTACCATTGCTGAGGGCTCCAGGGATCTCCTCACCTCCACATCTTGCCCCCTCAGAGGGGCTGGTGTCCCAGGGGTGTCCTCAGGGGGAAGGGGCTGCTCCAGCTGCTTGGATTTCCAGTGGGATGGGGGAAAAGCTGGAAGCAGAGATGAGCAGCAAAGGTGGGTTCAGGATCATTCAGGTGGAGAGGGGAGTCTCTACTCAAACCTTCTGCTTGAAGGTCAGGGCTCAAGACTTGGAGTCCCTTTGGTCTTGGAACCTCTAAGGGTGGAGCCAGGACCAAGGATGGAGCCAGGACCAAGGATGGAGTCAGGACTAAGGATGGAGTCAGGACCAAGGATGGAGCCAGGACAACATCTCTGGGCAACATGAGGCTGCAACAATTTGACTTGTCCAGCTTGTGTGGCTTCTTGCATTGCCCCCAACAGCAAAAGGGAAACAAGGTCTTACCCTTCTACAGGGGTGATTTGGGTAACTTCATGGTGTCTTTGGGGTGGTGGGTCTCCAACAAGCTTATTGGCAGCACGTGTGGGCTGTGATGATGGGGAGCAGCTGATGCTGAGGGTATCTAACAAAGCTTGTCCCACCAGGTCTAGTCTGGGTACCTGGGACCCATCTGGTGCTGGAGCTCAGTCTCCAGGGAGAGTGGAAGAGGCAGTTTGGTCGTGGTGGCTGCAGGACATGGGAGTTACATTAAATAGCCAGGAAAGTTCCTCCTGCACTGAGGATGTGCTGGAGTCTGGGACTGGTGACCCCTGCTTGGCCCGTGGCCTCCAGCCTCTTTGACAGGGCAGCAGCTGGGACCTTGGGGTCCATCCTGCATCCCAAAGCTCCCAGGTTTTGGTCCTGTAGGAAGGATGGTCAGGGCTACTTCTCCAGAGGAACCAGAGGGCACCTTCATGCTCTGCTGGTCCTACTGGTGGTGGTGATGCCTCCTTGCCATCTTGACAAACCTTCAGCCAGAGAGGAGGAGGAGGGAGGTGAAGGAGGGAAAATTGACTGGATCCATCTGGAATTGACTGGATTGGCAGAGTCCATCACCACAAAAAAAACCCCAAACCCAACATGAATTCACCAACCAAGCAGCACAGGTCCTGGTGTGCCTTGGAGAGGCTGTGGGATGCTGGAGGAGGACACCAGAGGAGCTGGCAGGAAGCTCTGAGCACCCCAAGGAGCACTGTGACCTGTCCAACAAGGAGGATCTCAGCTCCCTCTCCCATTCCCTAGCTCAGGAATTTGCCAACTGCATCCCTGGATCCTCCCAAGTGCTGGGAGAACTGTCCACAGTGTGGCTAAGCAGGTGGTTTCCTTGCTGGTGGAACCAACCTGCTGGTGGTCCAGCCAAAACCAAAGCATTCTGATGTATCTCAATGGTGAAGAACATCCCCAGATCATCTCCTGGGCAAGTCCTGGGCCCTGTCTAGGTCTGGGGGGAAGGCACAGAGGGTTCAGCCTTTGGTGAGTCCATCAGGCATCACTTCTGGAGCAGAGACCTCCCTGCAGATCTTTTGGAGGTGGTTTTGTGTTGTTCAAAGCAGAAACCACAGCAGGAAGCCCGTGGTGGGCAGTGGCAGCTCCAGATGGGGAGACCTCCTGGCAGGGTGAGAGCAGGGCAGGATCAGCCCCTCAGAGGGGGGTGGTTGCTTCTTGCTCCAGTGCCTGGGATGAGCAGAACCTTGTGACTGCTCTGACACAAAGCAGGACCTCACTCTGCTTTCATCTCCCCACGCTGGGAGTTCTCACCTCATCAAGATGCTCATCTTGGGGCTTTAGGATCTGAGCTTGGACCTGGTGAGGCCATGACCTTTTTCTGCCAGAATTATCTTGAAAGTTCCTTTGGTCTTGGCTCAGGGGCTCTCAGGTCCCACTGCAGAGCTGGGGTTGGTCTTCAGGGTGTAGAGGAGAAGCTGAGGGTCTTTGGGGTCTTGAAGCTCAAAGAGAAGGTTCCTCCTGAGCTGGTGCCAAGCTCTGTCCTGCTTCTTGCCCATGACCTGCCTGCCCTGAGGCACATCAGCCCTTGGTGCCACCACCCAGAGCCCTCCTGCAGCACTGGCTTGGCTTTGCAGGTGACATCAGCACCTCCCAAACCTTCATGACTGACCTGGAGCAGTAGCTGATGGTGGCAAAAATGAAGTTATTGCCCAGCCAGGTCGTTAGAGGGTTAAGGTCTGAATCTTTTTGGCCTGGGAAACCTCATGTGCAATCATGGGTGGCATCCCCTGGAGTGATGGGGGTTGGGACCTGGACCTGGTGTTCCATGGTGCAGGTTGGAGTGTCTCCAGGAGCTGGTTCTGCAGGTATCTAACCCCCCTTTCCTCTCTTCCAGCATCCCACTACTACAAGTACAAGCAGCAGTTCATTTTCCCAGGTAAGACCTCCTGGAAGGTCTCTCAGGTAAGGGTGCTGAGACATGCTGGGAGAGTGGCAGGGTCTGGCCATGGCTCCTTCACCCTTAGGTGAGGTGGGTGTCCAACCAGCTCTGCTAACCTTGGGTTTATGTGGGGAGGTTGGGCTGGGGAGGGATTTCTCCTCAAACCCCATCTTATTGTGGCCAAACCTTCCTCTCCCAAGGTGCTGGTGGGTTTGGTGGCCCCAGGTCACACCCAGCTCTAGTTAAGGGTGTAACCACCTTGGTCCTGGGGATGAAGGGAGATTTTTTCCACTGGGATTTGGTTCTCCTGGGTGTCCCTGGTACTGGGAGGGGCTCTGGGGGTCCCCACTCTCACCCTGCTCTCTCCTCCCCAGATGTGGTGCCCGAGACGCCGACCCGAGCCCCACAGGTCATCCTCCACCCTGTCAACTCCAACCCCATGTGAGTGCCTTCTCCTGGCCACCTTCCCCCTCCCAGCTAGCCCATCCTCCACCCCCCACCTCCTCTGGGCACCCGTGGGTGCTCCCTTGGCTCGGCAGGACCAGTTTGGGGTGCAGGGACACCTCTTGGGCAGGTTGTGATGCTCCTGCTGCCCTGACCCAGCTCATGGACCCACCTGGGGTCTCGGGGAGGGGAAGGGTGGGCAGGAGAGGGCAGGGGATGGGTCTCTAACCCACAGGGATGCACCCACCCAGGGCTTTGTCATCAGGAAGAAAAGAGTATAAAAATTAGACTTTCAGTCCAAGGCAAAACCCACGAGACACCAAAGCCCAAGAGATGAAGCTTTTATTGGATTGGAACCCAAAAACTGGAGTCTTGGAGATGAAAACTCAGTCTGGTTTGAGTTGGAAGGGACCTTGAAGATCATCTAGATCCAACCCCCCTGCATGGGCAGGGACACCTCCCACCAGCCCAGGCTGCTCCAAGCCCTATCCAACCTGCCCTTCAACACTGCCAGGGATGGGGCAGCCACAGCTTCCCTGGGCAGCCTGGGCCAGGCTCTCACCACCCTCACACCCAACAATTTCCTCCTCATGTCCAACCTAAATCTCTCTCTTCCAGTTTTAATCCATCCCCCTCACCCCATCCCTCCCTGCCCTTGTCCCAAGTCCCTCCCCAGCTTTCCTGGAGCCCCTTCAGGCCCTGGAAGCTGCTCTAAGGTCTCCCTGGAGCCTTCTCTTCTCCAGGCTCAACACCCCAGCTCTCCCAGCATGGCGCCAGAGCTGCTCCAGCCCTCCCAGCAGCTCTGTGGCCTCCTCTGGACACCTCCCACTTAAACTAGGTTGCTCCAAGCCCCATCCAGGAGGAGAAGAGAAGACTGAGAGGGGATCTTATTAATGTACATAAATCTCTGAAGAGTGGGTGTCAAGAAGGCAGGACAAGCTCTTGTCACTTGTGCCCTGTGACAGGACAAGGGGCAATGGATTCAAACTGGAGCCCAGGAAGTTCCACCTCAACATGAGGAAGAACTTCTTTCCTGTGAGGGTGACAGAGCCCTGGGACAGGCTGCCCAGAGAGGCTGTGGAGTCTCCTTCTCTGGAGACTTCCCAGACCTGCCTGGATGCCTTTCTGAGGGATCTGCTGTAGATCCTGTGATGCTCCTGCTCTGGCAGGGGGGTTGAATTCAACGATCTCCCAACATCCCTTCCAACCCCCGTGATCCAACCTGCCCTTGAACACTTCCAGGGAGGGCAGGGTTGGAAGGAAGGTTTTCTGGCAGCCCCACCTGCCATCATTTCAAGTCCAACCAACTTAGATTCTGCTTCTCAAAGCTCATTTCCCATCAGAAGTGTCAGGACTCACTCTGCCCACCTGGGGTCTGAATCCCACCTTCCCCCAGGTCCTCCTGCCTGTGTCCTCCCCTCCCTTACAGCCCCCCCAGCTCGGGGTGTCATTTGCTGGTTCTTTTTCCTCCATTCCAGTCCTGAGGGATATTCCAGGGCAGGAGTTTGACAAGATGGTTCCACCACCCACATCTTCCCAATGGCATTGGTGCCTGCCTGGAGGGTCCAGCAGATCTTGGCTCTGCCTGGGGGAGGTGGTGGGAGGGATGGGGACAGAACTGTTGTCCCCATCTGGGGAATTAATGGCAGAGTGCTGACATCAAAGCCTTTTCCTTTCTCTTTTTCCTTCCCTGCCTAAAGCAAGGGGTCAGGTTTTGTGGGAAACCTACTTTCCATGCGCAGACTCCGTGGTCCCACCACTGCAGAGAACCCACAGGAGCCGTGGAGGTTATCCCAGAGCTGGCTGGATTAACCACTGGGGTATATTCCTGAGAGAGGCATCCTGGGCTAAAGATCAGGCAGGAGGAGGTTGCTCCTGCAACCCACCCATCTGGATGGGTGGTAGAAACCAACAGCATCTCCTTGGCCTTTCCGTGTTGCTGCAAATGCTGGAGGTGCCTCCTTTTGGACAAGCACCAGTGTCTCCTCTGGGATTTGAAGCAATTTAGTGGTGATGGAATGGGGTGGGAAGCACAAGACCAGCCTGAGTGGCTTGAGGAGTGTTATGCCTCTCTGGTGATCCTTGGTGCTACTGGGAGATGATGCTGCTCTTTATGTTACTGAGCAGAACAATTTATAACGTATTTATACCACGCCTGAAGCCACCTGAGCTGCTCCAGCTGATCTTCCCCACAGGATTTCCCTAATTCCCTGGTAACTGTTGGGTGGAGCCAGCCCCTGGTGGTGGAGCTGGTGGTGGGAGGTGCTGTGTAAGCATGGAGGAAAAACTCCTGGCCCTGGAAAACAGGACAAATTGGGGTGGTCTTGCTGCAGGGAGGGTCTTGGAGGCCTCTGCTCCTCAACAAATCATTGGAAAACCCATTTTCTTCTCTTCTGGCTGCCAACCAGCCACACTTGTCACCATGGCTGGCATTTGTTGGGGAGGTGACCACCCTGATGACCACCTGAAGATGCCCCAGCACTGCCCTGTGGGGCCACAAGCTGCCAGGGTGTAAATCTGTCCCTGAGCTTGGGTTGGCTGGAGGTGCCACCTCCCCGAGAGGTGCAGCAATGGCCCATCCTCTGGAGCACTTGGAGATGTGGATGGAGACCTGCTCACATGCTCCCACGTCACCAAACCCAGCCTGGAACTTCCTGCAGCCAATATCAGTGAACAGGACCTCTAATATTGCTCATCTCCTCTCTCCACCCCCATCAGGTGTGAGCACCCAAGGCTGGGGTGCCCAGGGCATGGGTGGGAAGGGGCTGCTCTCCCAAATCAGCACTGAGCTTGGAACTTCTTCTCCCTGATCCTGATGGTCCTGATGGGCAGGGTGGTTCTGTGGGAAGTGGGACTTGACATCTATGTTTCCACCCCCAAAAAAAGGTGCTTTTACCCACCAGTGATTCCATGATTCTTCTTCTCACAGCCTGGAAGGAAACCCATTGCTTCAAATTGAAGTGGAGCCCACCTCGGAGGTGAGACCCTTGGGTTTGTTCCTCCTCTGCTTGTTGGGCCTTTATTTCAGATGTATTTCTTAGGGCAGGTTTCACAGGTACCAGTGAAGTTCATCATCATCTGTGCAGTGAAATTGCTGCTCATTGAATTAATAGCCAGGCCTGACCTAGTCCACCCATGAAGAGGGACCCTGGTGGGCTTCGTGTCCTCGTTCTTTTGATGGGGTTCAAGACGTGTTGGGTGCCAAGAGGTGGAGGAGGGGGATGGAGCTTTTTGTGGGTGTTGTAGATCCTGAGGAGAGCATTGAGGGGAAAACCAGACTGGTCTGGGGGTGCTGGTGATGCTGGGGTGGGAGCAGGTGGAGCACAGCTTGGCAGGGGTAGGATGAAATGCTGCTTTCAGCCCAACCAACTCAATCATGGAATTGGTTTTGGTTGGAAAAGCCCTTTAAGATCGTCAAGTCCAAGCCTTAACCCAGCCCTGCCAAGGCCACCACTGCCCCATGTCCCTCAGCACCACATCTACACACCTTTGATATCCCTCCAGGGATGGGGAATCCACCAGTTCCCTGGGCAACCTGGGCCAGGGCCTGACCACGTTTTTGAGGGAAGAACCGTGCCCTGGAGGGCTGTGCTCTTCTCTTCACCCCCAGCCTTAACCCTGCCAGGTCTGGCTTTCTGCTGGGTCGGCAGAAAACCAGCCCACCCAGTCACCTCCAGAAGGTCCCTGCCCAGCTCCTGTGGGTCTGAATGAGCAGTAAGAGACTTGGGGACAATTTTACCCAAGTTGTCCTCCTTGGCCACAGGGGTTTCTTTTTATTGCAGAACGAGGAAGGCCCCGAGGAGATCCAAGAATCCGAGGACGACTTCGAAGAGATGAACCTCTCCCTCCTCTCAGCCCGCAACTTCCCCCGCAAGGCCAGCCAGACCAGCATCTTCCTGCAGGAGTGGGACATCCCCTTCGAGCAGCTGGAGGTGGGGGAGCTGATTGGCAAGGGCCGTTTCGGGCAGGTGTTCCACGGCCGCTGGCACGGGGAGGTGGCCATCCGGCTGATCGACATCGAGCGGGACAACGAGGACCAGCTGAAGGCCTTCAAGAGGGAGGTGATGGCCTATCGGCAAACCCGCCACGAGAACGTGGTGCTCTTCATGGGAGCTTGCATGAGCCCTCCCCACCTGGCCATCATCACCAGGTAAGCTCCCCTCGTGCTCGGCTGGAGCCGTGTTTGCTCTTCCAAAACGCCTTCCCGCGGTGGGACGTTCCCAGGAGGCAAAGCCCAAGGGAGGGATGTTCTCCATCTGCTGTGGTTGGTGCTGCAGAAGGAGAGAGCAAACCCATCAAAGAGATTGGATTTATCTCCTGTAGAAGAGGAGCTCAAGATGGGAAAGGTGTATCTCAACCAGGGGCAGTTTGAACCAGGATGGATGTGATGGGATCAGCAGGTTTTGTTCTGGCTTTGTTTTTTGTACCATGCCCTGGTGAGGTCCCTGGCTGGGTGACAGGGTCTGGAATCTGCATGGAAAGGAGTTGGTTGCTCAGCTGGAGCACTCGTGCTCAGTTGGAGTCGTGTTTGCTCTTCCAAAACGCCTTCCTGCAGTAGAACATTCCCAGGAAGCAAAGCTTCCATGCCCAAGGGAGGGATGTTCTCCATCTGCTGTGGTTGATGCTGCAGAAGGAGAGAGCAAACCCATTTCAAAGAGATGGGTTTATCTTCTGTAGAAGAGGAGCTCAAGATGGGAAGGATGTAGCTCAACCAGGGGCAGTTTGAACCAGGATGGATGTGATGGGATCAGGAGCTTTTGTTCTGGGTTTGTTTTTTGTACCATGCCCTGGTGAGGTCCTGGTGATAGGGTCTGGAATCTGCATGGAAAGGAGCTGCTTGCATGTGGACACCAGGTTTCAGGATTCATTTGGTGCTCTGGTGGCAGCTCAGGTGTCTGAAGTCTTCAGCTGGCTCCTCTGAAGGGCAGCAGGGGTGGGGAATCCAGGTGCCTGCAAGGAGATGTGGTGCTCCACGAGACTGGAGCATGTCTATGCAGGTGTCCTCACTCCAGAGGAGGTGGGAAACCTTGCAAGAGAAGTCATGGCCTCCTGGAGTGGTTTCTCCTTTGCCCAAAGCTGTTCTTTCTGGTCCACCCCAAACTGGGACTGATAGGAATGAGTTTGGGATGGGGCTTTAGGAGGGAGACTGGGGAGCTGAAGAGCTGCTGGGGACATTGCAGGGTGCAGGGGTGGGAACTTCTTGGCTGGGGAGCAAGCTGGGGTTCAGAGTCTCCCAAACCACCTCCAACACCTCCAGAGCTGCCTGGGACTCAAGGTCTTGCTGGTACCTGCTGTCACCCACACGCCTGGTGGGAAAGGTGGCATCAAGCACCTCAGTGTTCTCCTCCCATGGGTGGGCAACCACAGAACCCCTGTGGCCTCAGGAGGGAGAGGCTTCAGGCTGGTGAAACACATTGATTTCTGTGTCCTCAGTCATTCCCCTCACCTCTAGGCCAGGTATGGAGCTGTGGGGCTTCCCATGGGGCTGCTTGGAGTCCCACCAGAGGTTACCTGCTCTTCAAGAAGCTTCCCTGGGGTGAGGTTGAACTTCTAACCTACTCCTGGCAGCGTTTTCCAAAGTCTGGGCTGGGATGGCAACACTGCCAGCAGCTCTTAACCATGAAATGCTGCATCAGCCCTTCCTAAGATCCCCTGGGAAGCAGCAGCTCCTGGTTCTTCAATCCCAGCTGGGGCAGCTCTTTGGGTGCCAGGGTGGGGACTTTGCTCTGCCCCCCACTCTTGCTTAATGACCAAGGATTTCAACCCCAGTTTGGTGGCTTTTCATGGCGTGGCTTCTGCTCTGCCCCAGTGGCACCTGGAGAAGAGAAGGCTCCAGGGAGACCTTAGAGCAGCTGCCAGTGCCTGAAGGGGCTCCAGGAAAGCTGGGGAGGGGCTTGGGACAAGGGCAGGGAGGGGTGGAATGAGAGGGAATGGATTAAAATTGGAAGAGGGGAGATTGAGGTTGGACATGAGGAGGAAATTCTTTGGTGTGAGGGTGGTGAGACCCTGGCCCAGGTTGCCCAGAGAAGCTGTGGCTGCCCCATCCCTGGCAGTGTTGAAGGGCAGGTTGGATGGGGCTTGGAGCAGCCTGGGCTGGTGGGAGGTGTCCCTGCCCTTGCACGGGGGTTGGATCTAGATGAACTTTCAGGTCCCTTCCAACCCAAACCATTTCATGATTCAACAAGCCCTTTGCAGCCCCCACATCATGGTAGTTTCTCAATTACAACTGGGAGAACCTGGTTGCTTTTGGTTTTCTCCTGTTTGATGGGACTTCTTGGGATTTCTGAGGTGCAATTGGTTTGTGTCCAGTGCTGGGCTGGCCATGAGGATGCAGGGAAAAAGGAGATGCTGGAATGGAGCTCAGAGCCTCAAGGGATTTTTGGGAAGCCCAGGACTTCTGGAAGTCATTTCCAGACAGAATTGCTTCTCCTGGGGCTCTGCTCTGCTGGGGCTTCCCCAGGAGGCACCTCTGGGCTTCTTGGGGCAAAGTATCCCTTGAATTTCCTGGGCTGACAGTGCAGGGATGTTCCCTTCTCCATGGACCTTGGCTGGTCTATCCTTGGTTGAACATTTCTGGGGGTTTCTTAGGACATCTCTGATCATCTCCTGTGGGGAAAAACCTTCTTACCAAGCCAAGGTCTCCACCCCACGGGTCTTTCCTTATCTGGCCCTCCTTCCTGGAATAGGGAAGGCTTTCCTAAGGGATATAACAGCCATGGAGGCTCCTCCAGGTGGGAGCTGCTGTTCAGGCAATGTAGGGAGTCTGGGAAGAGAATAATATGGTGTGAGCTGGACTGGGAATGGTCGAGGATATTGGGAATGTTCCAGGATACTGGGAATGTTCCAGAATACTAGGAACAGCCCAGGATGTGGCACTGGGGGAGGATGGAGCCTGGTGACCCCCTGCAGGGGGAATATCCCTCTGCAAACAAGAAGTTTCCTGAGGGACTCAAGTTCTCCCAGTGGCTTTATGGGAACGACTTTAAACTGGACTTTGCTTGGAGAAGGGGGGGAATAAAACCAGTCCAAGCTGCCTGATGGGGCTGATTCCAGCCACAAACCCAGGGTGTCTCAATTTCCTTGCCTGCTCCTCCCTGGGGCTGAAGTGACTTTATGTGCAGAAGAGGCTCCTTTTCCCCTGCGTGCTCAGAGGACATTTTTTTCCCCCACTAAGAACCAAAAAAAACCCCAAACCAAACCCTTTCTTGTTGAATTTAAAGAAATCTCCCTTTTCCTGCTAGTTTCCTGGGAGCAGCTGCCTGTCCCTGGAAGGGGCTTTGCCACCTCGTGCCACCCAGAGCTGGGTTATTTATAGATGAGTTTATTTTTGCTTTCCCACGTCCCTATGTTGTCCTTCCTGCCTGGTTCGTGTCTTTCAAGGATGTTCCTCTGATGTTCCTCATTAGAGGAGAGAAATCTCCCCCCTCCAAACATCACAGCCCATGGGGATAACTTGGGAGGGCTGCCTGGTGACATTAGGGAGGGGGAAACTGAGGCAGCAACTCAGCAATGGCTTCGGGTTCATGCTCTGATTTTTGGTGCACTGACCATTGGTCTGACCAGGTGTTGGACACCAGGACTGTTCAGTCTCATCATGAATGACATAGAGGGGTTGAGGGCACCCTCATTTTAGCAGATGATGAGTTATGTTGTTGATATTCCCAAGGGATGGAATCCCATCCAGAGGGACATCATTGCCACCCAGAAGGATCTGGTCAAGCTGGAGAACTGGAGCTTCATGAGGTTCATCAAGGCCAAGTGCAAGGTCCTGCACCTGGGTCAGGGTGATCCCTAGTATCAGTACAGGCTGGGGGATGGATGGATGGAAGGATGGATGGATGGATGGATGGATGGATGGATGGATGGATGGAGAGCAGCCCTGAGGAGAAGGACTTTGGGGTGCTGGGGGAGGAGAAGCTCAGCAGGAGCCCAGAACCCACCCGTGTCCTGGGCTGCATCCCCAGCAGTGTGACCAGCAGGGCCAGGGAGGGGATTGTCCCCTCTGCTCTGCTGAGCCCCCCTGCAGGGCTGGGGCCAGGGCTGGGGTCCCCAACACAGGAAGGACATGGAGCTGTTGGAGAGAGCCCAGAGGAGGCCACAGAGATGATGGAAGGGCTGGAGCAGCTCTGGAGCCAGGCTGGGAGAGTTGGGGTGTTGAGCCTGGAGAAGAGAAGGCTCCAGGGAGACCTTAGAGCAGCTTCCAGTGCCTGAAGGGGCTCCAGGAAAGCTGGGGAGGGACTTGGGACAAGGGCATGGAGTGATGGGATGAGGGGGAAGGGATTAAAACTAGAAGACGGGAGACTGAGGTTGGACATGAGGAGGAAATTCTTTGCTGTGAGGGTGGTGAGAGCCTGGCCCAGGTTGCCCAGGGAGGTGATAGAAACTCAATCCCTGGAAACATTCCAGGTTAGGTTAGTTGAGGCTCCGAGCAACCTGATCTAGTTGAAGAGGTTCCTTCTGACTGCAGAAGGCTTGGACTTGATGACCTTTAAAGTCTCTTCCAACCCAAACCCTTCTCTGATCCTTGGGTTGTCTCGGAACGTGCCCATCGGGGTTGGAAAGGAAGAAACTCAGCATCTTTTGACCATGGGAGGTTGGTGACTCCACGGAGTGCTTCCATCAGAGCTGCTAATAGATTTTCTCTTGGGTAATGAGCAGTGGGGACAGTTAACATTCATCTTAATTAGTCTTGAGCAGCAGCGGGCGGGAGCCGCGGTGCCCGGAGCGGCGGGTGATGGATGGTGTGGAACAGCATCAAAAGTGCCCAGTCCCATGGAACTGCAAGGGCTGGAGGCCAAAAAAAATGTCACTTGTGCTGCAAGCAGACAAATGACAAGTTGTTTTTTTTTGCCAGGCTTGAATGAGACCAAGCCTGGGGAAGATCGTGTCGGTTCCTTGGGGTTCCTGGTCCCCGTTGGTGGCAGCGTGGGGAGAGGGTGTGAAGGTTCAGGACCCAGGAGGTCCTTCCAGGGACAAAGTCTCACAGTTTTCTCTTGATATTAACGTGGCTTGAGCCACCCATGAAGGTGATGGGTTGGAGAAACTGCCAGGTTTTAGGTTCCTGGCTGTTCCTTCTGGGAAACTGCTCCTTGTGGGGGGGGGTTGGTGCAGCTTTTCTCAGGTGGTTGCTTGGGGTTTAGTGAGGGGCTG